ACCAACGATTCTGATAGATACATCCAGCGCTTTAAGTTTTCTAGCAAGATGAGAGGAAAAACATTTCTACAGGAGAGTCATGAATATAAATACTGATAAATATGAAGCAGGGTAAGTGAGTCGGAATTTAAACGTGACTCCTGCGACCTCGAAAAGAGAAATTAAATTTAGATAAATTCTTTTTTTTTAAGTGTATAGCACCAACTGACGAAAGTGCATAATCTCAAAGTACTTTACATAACAAGGTCAAGTATTCTACATAGAAAACTCAACAGTTCCCACAATGAGCAAGTACTTTTGACAGTGGAGAGAAAAAAAAAACCTTTTTTAATAGGAGCAGAAACCTTGAAGACTCAGGGTGGGCGGCCATCTGCCACTTTAGGGTTGAAAAGAGAGAGGTCAACTCTCTCAGCAATACGATGTCAAAGAACATTTGTATCAAGTAACGTATTACAGCAGCATCGCACACTAAAGCTCTGGTTTGGCCTTTTTACGTCCAGTGATTATGAATCTGAGCCCTGAACCACGGATGAACCGTCCTAATGAAACACCCGCTACTGGTGCTCACTGACGGGAGGTGACGTAGAAGTTTTCAGAGCAGTGGAACGAGAAGGAACTGCAAGTTTAAAGTAATACACATTGTAATCGCTGCCTTAGATCCTTTATTACAAAAGTAAATCAGAAAAAAAAGCACTACAGAAGTACTACATGTGTCCATAGTCAAGGACAAATGGATATCTACACTCTGAGGCACATCTCAAGCTTTTTGGATTCGCCGGACATGATTGACTTGGTCAGAGCGATCTCGTGTCACAGTGAAGACACACTGAGCTCAGAGATAACAGACTGTTAATTGCTACTGCCGAGAACAAGAGCTCTGAATGAGAAATGCCAGTTCGGAAATAGAAGAGCTTATAGATGTCTGTCTTTCTGAAGACATGCCCCGAGGCTGACACAGAGCTGGAACACAGAGCAGGATGCAGACAGGAGTAAATAGAGAGAGAGAGGGGATGTGAAGAAGAGAGAGAACGAGAAAGAGAGAGAGAGAGAGAGAGAGAGAGGGAAGAGGGGTGAAAGGAAAGAGGAAAACATGGGACGGAACGAGAAAGTTACTTGTTTGCATGCGTGTGTGTTTGTGCATGTGTGTGTTCCACCGACCTCTGAGGCGTTGACTCTGCCCTCCTGGAAGGAACAGCTGGAGGGGTCGTGGGTGCACAAGTTGCGGTACTTGCACCAGTGGCAGCGGAAGGCGCTGTTCACACATGACAGGCACCTGCACGGACACACGCACATACACACACATGTCGAGTGAGAGTCGAGAAAAGGCAACGCAGTTAAGGCAGGGAGGTGGGGGGAGCCAGAGTGGGGGAAGTGCCACAGAGGAAATGAGTTCAGCTCCCAAGTGGGCGCCTGCTGTTGTTGTGCCCTTGGAGTTGGCACAATCCCTAACAGCTCCTGGGCCAAGTTCTCCCTGCGTATATTTTGTTCGGCCATATATTAAAACTGGGTGTCACGTGTGAACGGGACGTTGCATATTTGCCTTCATGACCAGAGTCTGATGAAGGAGAGCGAGGAAAAGCTGGAGCGGAGGAACGTCGAGTAAATTAAACATTTGCACAACTTGATCCTGCAGTTACCATTAGTCCTGTATTGTTGGAGTGTCACTGTAATTACCAGCTGTTAGGTGTGTGTGTGTGTGTGTGTGTTTTTTATTGCACAAAGTAAATTTGTTACTATTAAGGTACCATAGTGCAAAAAGTATTTACTGTAAAAGTAAAACAGTAAACACAAATGTTAAGTGTAATATGTTCTTTGCAGGTTTTTTAAATGGTTAACTGCATAAAAATATAAATATTTCCCTGAAATAAAGTGGAATAGAAGTATAAAGTTAAGTGCAGGACCCTCTTGAGTAGATTTACTTGCTATCACTGGGATCATCACAAAGACGGAGGCATCATCAAGTGGTTTTCACTACGCTGTGTATTCATGAGCAGTTGTTCAGGAGGCGTACTGTCGTCTCACTTGGCTCTGCCTCTCCCTTTCTCCCCCTGAATTAAGGTTGTGTTCTGCATTCTTGCCTAATGCGAAATATGCATCTGTGCAAACGGATGGGAGGGGGATCTCCGGCAAGCACGCTAATTCAGAGGAGTAGGGGCTGATTCCCCTTCAGGCAAATAGTGTGTCTGCTATGTGTGCAAGGCGAGAAAGGGAGGGAGTGCGTATGCCCTTTTGGAGTGTACGCACTCCTCTGTGTGTTTGTGTGCGTCGCTGCCGGTGCAAGTATGTTTGTCATCGCCCATTAACTGAGCTGATGTGAGAGCCAGTAATTGCTTTTTGTGCAAGTCTCACATGGATTTTCAGACAGCAACATGAAGCTATAGAGCAGCATGTGCTTGTGTGTATGTATCTGCTGTCATGTCTGTCTGCGTCTGAGGAGGAAAACATCGGCTGCTTTTATCCGGCGAAATTGACAATGTCTATAACGTTTTGTTTTAATGTCGAGGGGACGGTGAAAGGATAATATGACACGCGGCGATTCCTGCACCCCTGCTAGCATCGCTAATGTGATACCCTCACTCTGCATTCAGTGATACTCCCGTGTCAGCGAGGCCTTTGGATCTCGCACAAACACAACCTGCCACCGTGGAAGGAAGCGAGCAAATAGCAAAGGCACCGCTGACACTGAGATCTCCAGTCCAGGGATTCAGTTGGACATCGGTCACTCGGGGACGAACGTGGCATGAAAACGAGCATGAAATCTCCTCTGAAGACTTGTTCGGCAGAGAGGAATGTGTTCTGCACCGCGGGGTGTTCGAGGAGAAGGCTTCATCAGCGCGGCAGCACAGAAAACTCCTGTTACCGTGCTCAGGGAGCAGCCACAGATCGGATGACGTTATTCTGAACAGGGGATATTTTTAGGGCCGGCTTGGGTTGAGGACAAATAGTAAACTAATTCCCAGAGCATTGATCCGGTGGGTTTGAGCAGCAGGTCTGGGAGAATTGTTTTTGTTAATTAAAATAGAATGAATGGACTAAAGAGAGATACTCACAGTTGGTGGACGCTGCAGTTGTAGAACTTGACCTCGGTGCTGATGAGCATCTGACCGGTCTCTTTAGAATTCAGTCTCAGCTCGACGCCTGACCAATCTGAAAGAGAAGAGACGTATATTACACACTCATGCAGATTCCCTTTATCTTTAAATCATTTAGCTGTGAGCAGCAGCCTCGATCGAATCTTATGTTCATTAGTCGTCTCAGTAAATTCGGAATTGTTATGAGTTGTTCATATTTGTGTAAATTACATCAAGATATATCGCACGGTATTGTTCTCTGTGCACGACATGCAAACCAAATTAAAAGGAACTGTGCCTGTGAAAATACGTGTGAATAAAATTAGCAATTTCCAGTCACACGCAGCAGAATCATTTCACCTGATCAAAATTTGTTTTCCTGCATTTCGCAGAACAGAGATCTGGCTGTGCTTCTGTTCTCGGTGAAAACAGCCTCTTATCTCTCCCCCGTGAGAATACAGACTCCATAAATGTGTGTGTGTGTGTGTGTGTGTGTGAGTGTGTGTGTTTGCCTGAATTTTTGATGACATTCAGTGTGTAGGAGGCTTGAATGACCCTCCGTGACCTGTTCTCTCTGCAGCACCTGTTGGGAATCAGGCTCTGTTTCACGCTAGTCTGTGTAGCAGGCTCATATCTGACTTCTACCATTTGTAGAGCTGGCAAACAAAGTGGTAAAGAGTTCCTGTCCACGCAAAACCTCCTCTAGGATTATACTTCTCCTTAGTAGCACAGAGTGTCAGCTATTTTCTTTCATTTCCAGCTCAATGTCAGTTCAGCATCCTCAGGAGTTTCATCCTAACCTCTGCTCCTTCTGCTCTGACGCTCCTGTTTTAATTTCTCCTCTCCTTTGTTATTTCCTTCTCTACTCCACCTTTTAATCTCATTTCCTCTCCACTCCTCTCCTCAAGTCGCCGCCGCTGCCGCCACCGCTGCACGATCAATGTCGATGTGCAACACATAGGACGGTTCGCAAGGGGACAGGAGACGGAGGAGGATTGTGGGGAGGTCAGGAGGAAGTGGCCTCGGGAGGGGTCTGATCGCGGAGTGAAGATTGGAGGTATAAAGAGCTGGGAGAGGTAGGATGGAGGGAGGTGATCAGAAGGGGTGGAGGGAGAGGGAGATAGAGAGAGGATGCATGCGTAGTGAGATGGATGGAGGAAGGGCTTACAGGGGGGATTGGCTGACATTTACCTGGGGGAGAACATTCATATTAGTGCCTGATGCACCACTACCCATGGGAGCTCTGGGCAAACAGGCCTGTCATTTACTCTCAGGTAGGAGGATTTACCAAACCCCCCAAAACACACAGTCATTTCCACACATGGCACATAATATATTATTCAGGGGGTTTGTTTCCCCGGCCCTGCAGCCGTCTTGACTCGCAAACAACAGGTATTTATTGTCAGACCATAGGTGTCAGGATCCATAATGATATATATGTTTGCAGATAAATGAATGCTAGAGTCACTGTTGTTTATTTATGGAAATATGAGGAGGAATCTTTGAAAGGTCATGAGATTTCTATGAATACATTTGAGGTGATTAGCATTCGGGTTTATATCAGGACCTTTGCGTTTGTTCTGGCAGTATGTTTTTATGTGAGTGTTATATAAATACATGTCATTTTATGAGATGACATTTTGACCACGAAAAACAATTATTTATTTTGATTATGGATAATTATTACGTGTTGTTTTCATCAGGTAGCACTTTAACAAGCTGCCGACCACCTGCCTGTGCCTCGTCTTTTCAGATCTAACTGACCTCCTCCAACCGTCACCTGCTCCAATATCAGGGCTGCAGCCGGCGGACCTCAATCTGATCGTCCATCAGCACTAATGAGCTCTGGCCTTGTGTGTAGCACACTTCCCTGCCAGACAGCTGATTCTGGATCAGTGGGAGCTTGTTGTTTAGATGGTGTTGAATCAATAAAGAAGTTTTAAAGTGATGCATGTGCCGTTAGCTCACAGAAGGAAACCGAAGAAGGTTGAGTTCGGAGTGAGGCTCTCTCCTCATCATGCATGATCAGATCAATGCAGTAAACGATGAGTTCTTTTTGGTGCACGTGTGTGCGTGTGCTTTTTTTTTACATACCTTGGTCGGTGGGGATGAGGGGGACATCCTTGGCAGCAGGAGACACACAGAGTATCTGGTTGCCGTTGACCTGGCCCTCCACCTCCGTCAGGTTGCCAAAGGAGCAGGTGATGCCCGCGGAGAGATCTGGAACATCGCTCACCTTCACCAGCAGCTGCACATGGAGTGGAGGAACAAAACAATAGTTATTAATACGCATTTCAGGCCAAAAGTGAATGCATGTGAAACCAGGGGAAAATCTTATCCCAAAAGCATTCGCACATTGGCTGGATGAAACATGATATGGTGGGAAAATGTGAAAACCATAGTTGCTTGAATGCAGCGTGTACAAAGCTGCAAACAGGGTGAAGAAAAGAACACACTGCGGCTGGCAAATCTGTCCGTCCAGTTTGCCAAGAAGCGTAGCTGTGTCTCTAAATTGTTATCAGCACCATAATAAGACCGTGCTTAGATCTTAATCTTTTATTTGAGAGTAGAATATATCATTCCAGAGGAGGAGAGACAGCCACCGTGGTTCAGTCAGTGGTTAATATATGGTTCTAAGCTACATAAAAGGAAATTGGAAAAAATGGCCACTTGGGAAATTCTGTTTGAGTAAAAAAAACAAAAAAACAACAACAACAAAGAAAGCTGCCCTCACACATGATGTGCCGTACATATGCAATATACCACACACATGCAGACACACACACACAGAGGCGTTTGAAGTGATTCTCTGGAGAGCGGTGACACTGGGGCTGAACATTCAGCTGTTCTGCCTATAAATAAATGTATTCCGCACACAGGGTGTGTGATCTGGCTCTCCAGCCAAGTGAGGCAGCCTGGATAATTATCACCATGGCATTTCACAGCCTTGTTCCATTAGCTGTTATTTTTGGGCCATACCGTTTGAAGTTTCTCTTTGTTTTATCTGCCTCTCACTAAACACCGCGGGGCTACTGGGACAGGCGAGGCAGCTGAGCAGCTTAACTGTAGGCCTTTCAAGAGATGCTGACTGTCTCAGTAGCTGACTACACTGCCTCCCTCGTTAGCTGCTGTACTCCGGTGCCATTGAGAGGATGGAAGTTTTTTTTATTATTTTTTTTTTATCTGCTGCCGACGACCTCTCGTCTTCTCCTGTTTCACATCCACCGTGTTTGTGTTGCTTCGCTCTGAGGTGTGTCAGCGAGATCCTTGATTGCAGCAATCACAGCAATCAATGTCTTTTGTTCAATGGAGAATCCCCTGAGTAGCCCCTCATATTAATTGGCTCTCATCGTGTTTTTTAAGACACACATATTGATAAACACACAGGCACACACCCCCGCACACACACACACACTAGCTGCTACCCAAAGCAAGCTTGTGTCCAAGTGTTCAGCCTTTGCTCTTTTTGTTCTCCCTGATGATGAGGATGGTGAGGATGATGATGATGATGATGATGATGAGGATGATGATGAGGATGATGAGGATGATGATGATGATAATAGCAGTGATGGGTGCTTTGCTGCTTGGAAGCAATGACCATTCTAATTGGTGGCAGAGTTTTAATAAAGGTAATTAGATTTTTTTTTTTTTTCCTCCGTGTTTCTGTATCTGCCCACATGGTGAGGCTGTGTTGTCATGGAGATAGCCGTCTGCCCCGGTGGAATTTGTGAACTGTGTAAATTTATGTTTTTGTAGATGGTTTAGTGAGATGACCCTGCTGCTGGTATGGCTGACATGGAAACAAGCATAATATGTTGTCTGATACACTGCTGTTTGGAAAACAGACAATGGAGCGAGGTTGAGGGTGAGGTACCGCGCGGTGAGTCACTGCCAAAGCTGCAGGCATTTTGTATTATTCAAATGTTTCAAGTACGTCTTGACTGCAGTCAATGAATCCATTAAAGGATCCTGTTTATGTCACCTCTCATCATGAATCCTAACCTGAATAATGTTCTACGTAAGTAAGTTAACCAAAAGTGCACGACTCAGACGTTTGTTTGAAATGAAACCACATTCAAATTCACCAGATCCTGATTTTTTTGGGGGGAATCTGCACCAAATTGCACAGACTCATAAATAACCATCACATCAAGAAAGAGGTAGAAAATCTCCCTGTATTGTTAATTGCTCATGTTAAAACCAGCTCATCAGAATCTGCACCATAATTGATGGGTTATTGCCATCATACATCCTTCCACAAAGTTTCTGTTATGTAATTTTTTGCAAAATCCTGCTGATAAACCAACAAACTCACAGACACACGCTGATGAAAACCGACTCTCCTTGACGGGGGTAAAAAGAAATATGCCGCTGAGCCTTTGGGTTGAAAACAGACATTTCTAAAAGTGATAATTCAGAAACCAAAAAGGCTAAATTTCATTTTGACTATTGTGTTTTGGAAAACCAACCTTGGACAAACGAGTTCTCTCCCTCATGCTCGTTCTGCCCTGTTTTGGCTCAGTCTATGTGGAAACTGTACCCAGCTGCACTTGGACAACTTTAACACCTACACGCCCACCCACACAAACATGTCTTGGCACACATATTAACTGCTCTGCATCAAGCGAGCATATGCACATTGGAACGCCCACGCTGAGTTCTTATGAACCTTCCCATCTAATGTTTATGCATCAACTTAATCAAGACTAGGCAAACTGCAAAGTGAGATCATTTAAAATGTTCTGCTGCTGTACGTGGGTAGGGAATATGCAGATGGGAGATAATTCTTCATTGTGATGTGTGCTGAGACTGCAGGTTGTTTGGCATTTTGTGTGTAAGGCAATGTGTGTATGTGTGTGTGTTTAAACTTACAGGCACGCTGGGTTCTGACACCGCAATGCTGTCCGGGTACACCGTGGCCTTCACACACTGGTTGAGAGAGGCGGCGAAACGATACGGCTCATCTGCACGCTCGCACCGGTTCCTCTGAGAGCAGCTGAGGGAGGGACAGAGACAGAGCGTCGTTACTGAAATGTATTTTTCAACGGGAGCACAACTAGAAATGAAAAGAAGGGCTGCCAAAGCCATTACAGCACTGAGGAAAATACAGAAGCCAAAGTTATAAAGGGAAGAAACTATATGATTGGAAAATAACAGGAGGCTGTGCCAAAGTTATAATAGCAAACAATAACAGCCACAGTGGGAGTGTAAAGATTCACTAAATCAATGGTTCATTTAAAAAGAGTTTCAACACTGTTAAATCTAACGCACCTGGAGGATTGTTATCGTCTCGATCTAGAGCGCTCCGTCATCATTGGACCAACATATTCACATGACACATGCAGATAGGTGCAATGTGTGATATCTACAAAATAGCACAACTTGCACTTAACGTAATCATTTCGTGTCAAAATCATCACACGATAGTGACTGATATCAAAAGTGGTGTGACAATAAGTACTTGAATGAAAACACTACGTGAAAAATCAAGTTGGGAGTAACAAAACAAACTGTCAGTGTCAGTGACAGAAATTAAAAACCTTTCCAGCGAGAGAGGGAACGAGGAGGAAATGATGAGGATTCAAAATGTCAAAAACACTAATGGTAAACAATAGAAGATTAGAGAATGTTGCAGTGAGGAGAAAACAACACTGAGTCTCATTTACATCACGTTAATAGCTCACTTTTGTCTAAACAAGCGTATTTGACAAGACAGACATAAGAACATAATTGGTCATTGTATGGTCACATCATGCACCAATTTCATCAACTACATTTTTGTTCTTAACACATCTGGACCGGCCACGAACATCCGTCCCAATTACACCAGATGTCTTCTCAGCTCTGCTCTCACTTTCTGAGTCGTCTGTGTTCATGGTGCAGATTTGTTTTGTGTTGATCGAGGCTATAAATGTGACACGCTCCAGAGTCTGGTTAAGTTATGTTGTTGTTACCAGGGCGTTTTCAGTCCTGGTTTGTGAAACAGATGGCATATTGAACACGTAATGTGAACCGGTTTTGCTGCTTTTTTTTCCCGTCGGATTGCTTTAAAACATCAATTACACAATAGCTGCTTACGCCGGTGAAAATTTGCATTTCATGACACTCGCACCATCAATAACATCTGGCTCCTGCAGGACTCTGCAGCTCTAAAAAGTTTCATAAACTTCGAAGTGATCGTGGTCTGCAGGAGGCTCTGTATTCCCGCTAAACCGCAGAAAGAGAGGCGGTGGCAACAGCAGCGGAGCCGCTGCCTCCAGCGGGTAATACACCATGTTAACATTAACCATGAAGCCACATGAAGCACTGAGCACTACACACCCAAATTATATCCTTCAATCACCGTGTAACTTCGCAGACGCAACTAGTGCAAATTATACACTGCTCACTCATAAGGGAACCTAATGGTCAGACAGTGTATCAAGTACCACGCAACACCCCCACAATCCACCACATCCCCTCATTAAAACCCCGCCACCGCCTCCTTATTAAAAGTGTGTGCGCCCGCCACCCCATTACACCACAGACTCTCTGTCCTTATCCAACCCAGCAGTCTAAGTGCCTGGCTGACTGGCCGTCTGGTCACAGCAGCTCTAATTGGACTCTGATGGGTCAGCCGCTGTCCAGGGAGCCGATGTGCCACTACAAGCCGTGTCCATTCTCTCCTGGCTGCTAACGGTGTGTGTGTGTGTGTGT